CCCCCTCACCGCACACACACACACACACACACACACAGAGGCAGATAGACAGGACGGGGCCGCGCACACGCACACACCAGCTCAGCATGAATGCAATGTAGACTTTTGGCCAAGATAATTCTTTCCAACTATTAGAAGTATGTGTCAAAAGATTGAATGTAAAATTTAAAATTGTTGTCTTTCGTTTAACTGCAACAAATAGCCTCAAACTGAAAGAAAGTTAACTACATAGGAAGGTTCTTAATGGTCAATAGTACAGTAGTGAGAGGTCACCTTAGCACATATTGCATTTTATATATAAGAACACATCCAATAACTTGGATCTTTCTGATCCCCATTCAATACAACATTAGAAGTGTCAAGCTCACAAGCACACTTCATGTGAGAAAAATACTACTCACCTTGTGTTCTTCTTCCAGAAAATGTTATCAAATGCTTTGTCGCACTTCTATAAGATTTCATCAAATCATCTCGGTGGCAGCCAAGTCCAAGTAGGCCCTACATTGAAAATTTAATTAAAGTTAGCATTCATCAAAAAGAAATTCAGAGTGATAATGTTGCACCATAATTGCTCAAATAGTATTGCTCAGACCATGAGACTGAAAATATGGGGGAGGCCTATCCCACAAATTACGAATAAACAGTGAAATAGCACTCTATTAAATAACCTGGACAACATGCACTGAGAATGGCTTTTGTTTTACTCACAGTAGAATGATAAAGCCACTGCGTAACATTGCTCTTCTTTTCAGATCCCAAGCCGAAAACATTGACTCTATCACTTGTTAGCCTAGGCTAGCACAGCCTATGGGATGGGTGGCTAGCTAACCTAAATCCACCCTATGCTCGGACAGTATTTGGATACAGTAAATTGGGTTTGGGCTTATGTGTCAGTTCTCAAATCGGTGCCGATGACAATAAGCGTCCACAAGACTCCACTGTCACAACCGATATCACTTCAAAATAAAAATAACTTTTAAATCACACTCGCAGTGTTGTCCATCCTCCTTGTCGTGTTTCGTCGACTTTACTATTTGCCCTCCTTCGAAGTGTCGATAGCGGGTGTCGATAGGTTTTTTGTTCTGCAGATACTAAACGCGATTATATGCAGGTCAGTTGACAGTTCGAAGTAAACATGGCGAGAAACGTCAACCGCGAGTGTGATGTGATTTAAGATTTATTTTTTTATTTTGAAGTGTTCATGGTTGTGACTGTGGAATCGTGTCGACGACCACCTCGGTGGCCAAACTGCCAACCGTTTGGTGTAAATACTATTATGTCTTGTGCGGACTTTGGTTCGGTCTACCACAGTGCTCCACTTCGACTCTCGTGGAGGTTATGGCTCCTTATCCATTCCAGCAGAGTGCTGCTTGTGATACAGACCAGGACGATTGGTATCAGGATGACAAGGTTAGTGACATATTCCTGCTTTGAATGAAGAGAATTGCCTCCGTTTTATTCCATTCAAAATTAACTATACCTAATTTAGAAGTTAAAATATGCATTCTACAGATTTCTTTATCTTCCCCTGGTAATAATATAATGTAACATAATAGCAGATAGGAATGACCCCAAGTAACAAGTTACGTTGGTGTCATTTATTGTGATTGGATCAGAAACAATAGTTGTATTCATATTTTGTTAAAATAGAGACTCTATACTGTAAGTGGATTTTTTATGAAACAACCTACAATTATTTAAATTTGGCAGGTGAATGTGTACAAGAGGATCGTTTTTTACAAGAATGACAAAGTCAGTGTCTCTGAAATACCAGTCTATTTCATTAGGTCAGAACTGTAGATTGAAAATACTCGAGGTTCTGCATGGATTCTGTTTTGTTGGCTTAGAGTTTTAACAGCTGGTCTTGAACTGCATGTATAGTTTGGAATGTTTCAGAAATTGATTTTGAAAACTGGTCGAGTGTCAATGATCAAGTCATTTGCAAATAGACCCTTTTGCCCACAAAGTGGCAATGTCGCAAGTAGAATCCTAAACGTATTTTGAGTGTCTGTCAACAAAATTATACATCACCACTGGATTCCTTGGAAAATTTACCAGAGACAAGTGTTTCTAATTTTTTCAAAATTTGCCCAAATTACAATTTTACTACAGAGATTTGCGTTGTTGCCAAATTATAGACTAAAAGGTGTACCCCCCCCCCCCACATCCACAAACCCACACCGAAAACCCGGATGGCGTTGCCGGTGGCTGGAAGTGGAGTTGGCTACTCCGTTTGGTGGAGGGGCGGTCGTACCTCCACAACTGCGAAATATTGAAATATCCCGCGAACTAAACAAACAATAATATCCCTTTTAATCCGAAATAAACTAGTTTTCGTAAACAAACGGACGGCGTAGGCGTGTGCCGCAAGTTCATTATGTTCTTGGAAGCCACCAGCTCGAGCCCGAGTTATCATTAATAATACTTGGCTGCCGGCGGCGGGCGGCGCGGGCGGGGTAAGTAAGGAAACCACACGCCGCGACCGCGACAGCGAGCGGCGGAAGGACGAGCGGGTGGACGTGGAGCAGCACGGCGGCGTGCGGTCGTGTTTGGGCGGCTTGTGTGTGTGCGCGCGCGCGTGTGTGTGTGCGCGCGCGCGTGCGTAAGCGTGCTGCAAAAACAAAATTACTAATAAGCACCATACCTTTCAAAACAGTTGCGAAAATAAATCGACTTTTCAGAAAGTTATACAAATATGTTTCGTAACGTTCAAGAATTCACTGCTCATATTTTTTTACCAACTATATATGCACCTTTCAGACTGTGTAGTCAAATATTTGTCTTTTACAAGTCTCTTTGTGAAATAACAATATGTCAAGTTGTTAAAAACGGAGTTTTTGTCATGAAAACCTAATCAAGATAATTTAAAAGCGATCATTTGCCGTCGAGCCTGCCGTTCAGCCGATGCTAGGTCTCATAGCGCCTGCTAGGTAGGCAATATGTTGACCGCAGTGCATGAGTGTACTGCGGTGTGGCCTACCCAGAGTCTCGCAGGCGCTAAGCTGCCCTAATGTTGTTGAATTGGATCTGTGAGGAAAACGGAAGTACTTCATGGGCGATCTCTTGGGGTCACCGAACTCAGACACTCATTGGCGTGGGCATAGGAAAGCACCATGTCGCTGCGACGATTTCCAGCATTTCCACATTAACTCCAACATTGAACTAAAGCAGGTATCTGCATCAGACCAAATCACTAGAATATTAGTTATATAGTCACCAAAGCTCTGTCCTGATCATCCGAACCTTGCTGCAGTGCACACAATAATGCAACTACGCCATCAACAAATCGTTAATAGCCACACATTCGTATTTTTTTCACAGTGTTAAAAAGAATGAAGGTGCGTTCAAATAAGCTTCGAAATGTGATTGGTCTGTAGGTGTAAAGCCATCAGCAGAGCGTACGCCTGGCTCGCCGGTGGCCTGCCCTAGCACTCGCCACCACAACACGCCTTCCCTTCCCGCCCGCTGTGCTCCTGGCCACGAGAGCGTTGCTCCTATCACCGCACAAGCACCCCCCCCCCCCTTTCCGAACAACAGCGCACGCCGAGGCGTGCTCTTGCTCTGCGGCTGTGGTTAAGCTACGTCACACGAGCCTGTCACATTCGTAGTGCAAGGTCAATGTAAAATTTGTTGGTTCCATTTACGTCCAATAGGTTTTCCACTCCAGATTACTGGCGAAATTCTTGCCACCCGGGGTATAAATCCTCCGGGACTTTTATAGCTTGGGAGTCGAGGGGGGTATATATGCCCCAGGAAATTTATACCTCCTTCAATTGGGAAGGGGTGGTGGTAGGAGGGCGGGGTTAAAGATACCCGGGGGGATTTGTACCGGGGGGTACGGTGGTATAGATTCACTGCGACACCTGAATCGGGATAGTTGAGAGCTTCCTGTCAAGTCCGTGCCCTTTCCGCTGGAAGTAGGAAGCCCGTCAGCACACGGTATCGTCGCCGTCACCGACGCCGTCAGTGAGCACAAGAAGTCGGAAGATGTGGAGAGGGAGGGGGCTCCCCGGTGGCGCTACTAAAACTTTTATTGCGTCGCGCAGTGACTGTGGTGTCAGATTTCCAACCTAGCAGAACCATCAAGTCTAGAATGCGGATTCCCTTAAATCTAGGTCGAAATCGGTTCCAAACCTACACAGTAAAAACAATGTCTCATATTTTGAGGCAAAAGGGAAAACTTTTATTGACTCCCATGTTTGAGGAAGAGTCCTCCGATCTCGCTTCAAATTTTGAGAAAACTTCTCAAAAAACGAGGAAAAATCCCACATTTTTTGAGGAAACGTCCTCGAAATTTGAGGAGTTTTCATAAAACCAGGGGAGTTCCTCAAAGGTTTCCCTTTTCCCTAAAAAAATGAGACATTGTTTTTACCGTGTAACTAGAAGGGTTATATGTATACCCCTGCGAATTTCACTCAATCTTTCTTATTTCTCAGACTCAGTCTTTTCTTTGCTATGAATTCAAGACAGAAATCGAAGATTTCGGTTTACACTCTAAATGGGGAGGGACAATTTTTGTACCTTAGTTAGATGTGTCTTTGAGCACATCTTCATCAGATACAAATTTGTCTGTACAGAGGTACAAAGTGTACCTAGGCTAGGTACAAATGTTATATTTTGTATGTGACTTCGATGCAAATTTGCATTTGGTTTAGATGTGCTCAAAGACACATCCAGCCTACGTACAAAAATTGTCCCTCGCCATTTAGTGTGTACCATAATTGCCCTCGCCGTGAACGCTACAGTTTTAAGTATTTAAAAAAATATCATTGTAATACTGTCAATATTTAATTTATCTGTGCGTAAATTTTTGTTCCGATTACCAAACCAGACCACACAAGCCATGCATCAGCAACCATTGTTTGGGCATGTGAAACATCCGGCAACATATTTTTTTCTGAATGAATGCCGTGTAGCAAGCACAAAAACGCAGTATTTCTATTTTTTCCTGGTTATCATGTTCAGTTCATGTTCCGTTGTTTGTGGAGTGTACAGCTGGAGGCAAGAGATTAACAAGGGTCTGAGGACAGAGCAGGAGTGGTCAGGAGGGTTGTCTATGTCGTGTGAGAGGGACATCGCCGTGGGCTGCCATTCAAGATCTTGATCAGACAAGGCAAAATGTGGCGTAGGAGGTTAACGGAAAAGATAGAGTTTTCAGTTTTCACAAACCATTGACATTAATGCTCTTTAATTACTCTTAAGGAAATGAATTACAGTGGCATTTTTCATTTGTAATTATAACAGCATGGAGGAGCAGATCATTTGCAGGCCATTTTCCCGTTGCTTATAGTGTCCTGCAGATCAAAATAGAAGAGAGCAAAGGCATTATTACCGAATACCTCGATGATCATTAGTATCAATTCAAATTAAATGTTATTTAGAACTGTTTTTTGAGTTTTATCGGGAAAATCTAACCAGTTGTTGAACGAGTTGCCTAACACTTGCCGGTGTTCCCCGTCCAACACTTTGGTTTATCAAAGTATTTCTTGACCAGAGCACAATGATGAAACGTTTGATAGAGAAACGCGAAGACCCACCACTATTAAACCCCATTTCTCTCACCTTCAGTAGTAGACGTAGCTGCTGTGCATCGGGGAGCTGTAGGTGTAGACGTACGGCACGTAGTTGGTGTGCGTCTGGTGGTAGGTGCGGGTGTGGTGCACCACGGGCACGGTGGCTGACACCACGGCCGGCGACGACACGACGTACGAGTAGGCAGCAGCCACAGCCAGGAAGGCGGCGAGGAGGATCAGGTGCTTGAACATGGTGAGGGCGAGGTGTGTCTCTGCTGGACGATTGCTTGAGCTAATCTGTCCCGTCGTCCCCTCGCGCCCCCTTTTATACAGAGCGGCTCCAGGGCGGTGCTCTACCTGATGAAGATTCCCCCGGATGTAATATTGTCATTGTTATTTTTGGGTCACCGACGGACAGACCCGGTGCTGCTGATCCCCTTATTCAAGCGGGAGGGAGGAGGATGTGTTGGGGAACGGGTCGATGGGTCCAGGTGGACATCTTGGCATGCGAGTCTGGAGTCTGGAGAACGAAAAGGGGGGCAGGGGAGGGGTGCCTTACGTATTTTGCCGAGGAATTCACCTGTGGTCTCCTGGCCATCGGATCCGGGATAGGTCAGTTATTGGCGTCGCCCCCTCCTCCCACTCTACTGTACCGCCAAGCACCTTGTTTTATTGATAATTGCTTTCATCACGGCCATTTCTTCGCTCGAACCGTGGCGTGGCGCCACCTAAGCCTTCTGACGCTATCCCTCCCTCGTTGGTGTTCCAGAGAGCGAGAGCACTGGAAACACAAAGGTGCGACATAATTCACTTTCAGGGGTGTTAGTGCTGTCGTGCCTCTCTAAAGGCATCTAACACCAACACCTCTAAAGGTGCTACAATTGCGCACCTATCGTGCCTCTGCAAAGGCATTAGAGCAGTACGACCCCTGAGGGGTGTTATATCACACCTTTGCTTTTCCAGTGAGGGTTTTTGTGAAGTTTTTCACCTTGCGAACGAACGCTTTGCGCTAGCAGAAGGGTTATTGGTGACGCAAAGATTACGCGAGCGCGACTAATTCTCATTCAATTTCTATTGAAACAGAGCCCATTGTTAGCCTTTAGTCAAGTTCAGAAAGAGACCACCAGGGGAACTGGAGAGAATCTTTGCATCGCCATTATGATGATGTGCTGTCAAGCACCTGATTCGTTGCTGATTTGCTCGTTTTTTGCCCACTCTTCTGCTTTGAAAAAACGATAGCGCGGGATCATGCAAACGCCCTGTGTCTGCCTGGCCGTCTGTTTCACTAGATGGCCAAGCAGGCTCAGCCCCTGCCGAACTGAGTCATAGAGAACGGATACTAGTTATCTCTGAACGGAGTTGCCGGCGGAGCGAAGTAAAGCTGGCAACTCCGTTTGGCGGAGGGGCGGGCCTGCTTGTTGTTTGGGGTGAATGTGACATCATGGAGTGGTTCAGTCGACCTTTTCCGTGCGCTTTTTCGGACAGCACACAACACACACACGGTGTGAAGTTAGTCGGCCACATTTCCCCTTCTAACTCCCTACTCCCTACCTTCAACCCTCTCCTGACCCGACGACCCGCCTACTCATTCTTACCTTACCCTCCCCCCCCCCCCCTCAACCAAACCTCAGCGAAGCTCCGGCAGTACTTCCGACTGCCTATGCCACCAGAATGAATATGTATTGGCCTATCACATCGCCATGCATTGGCGGCGCCCTTCCCGCTCCGCTCCCTCCCCACTCCCCCTCGTCTCACCCTCCCCCTTCCCCCTCTATCACACCCTCCCCCTTCCCCCCTGTCTCCCACCCTCTCTCCCACCACTGCAGAGGCCCGCTCGCTAAAATTCACCGAATGTGTGGGTGCTCCGCGAGTTATGTGTTTGGTTATGGAGAAATAGCGCCGAGGGGGTGGTGGGGGGCTAGTTAAGAGCCCCTTTCCCGCGGCGAGGCCCGCCCGGCTTCAGGCGCTGCTTGCTGCTGCGTTGGTACTTAGCCCCCCACCTCCTCCCTCTCCCATCCCTCCCACACCTCGCCAATATCCCTTACTGTAGCCTCGACTAGACTGCTTTTCCCGGTCTTAAAGTTTTTCGGCTTCGCATCTGGCTGTGGGCGTCCTAGACGGAGCGTCGAACGCCAGCGCATAGGTCAGTCCGGCGCACGGACAAACCCCCATACGAGGAATAATTGCGCTGACTCCGTTGCCGGGAAAAGAAAAACAATTTGCAGTCGCAACCGAGAATTTGATGCGGGAACTGATATTGAAATTGATTGAGGGACGACTTGCACTGTCAGTAATAATACTAATAAGTGAGTCGTGGTAGCAACCAAAAACTCAAAATCTTTTACAGAAAGAAAATCCCTTTTCCCTCGCGCGAGCGCCTGCGCGCTAGCCGTCCCGCCGTACTCGTGAGTCCCGCGGGCTTGCCTATCCCGACCTTGGTGGGCGCCATGACCTTGCCTGCGCGCGGCTGGGGTCCTCTATGGGACAAGGTGCCCCCCTCCCAGCCGCCTTCCATGGGGATCCCTGACCTACGGGGAATCACAATAACTTTGGCAGGCGACGATGGGCGCCGTGCCAGACTGTGACCACTCGCCGCGACTCAAACACCACTGGCCCATCCACAAGTCACAATACAAAACCCCAATAAAAAAAAGGATGTTTTTTTTTTTGTAGTAAAAGAGTTTGGCGCCGCCATGACGGAACGCTGGGCGTGAAGTAGCTCCCTAATCGTTCCACATACTTGGAAAAAATGCGCCAACTGTACCATTCTCCCTTTCAAAAATGGTTTGCGTACGATCCAATTCGTAAAGACGATATTAATTTTATTTTCTTGAATGTGTGATAGCGAAGCCTTCTACTCCAGTGACGAAAAAAGTTTCGTTCTTGTTAGTTTGTTAATATAGTGGCCATTGTTTCTCAACCTGAAAATGTCGGTGTCCTTTAATACCTACTCGCAGTTCAGCACGCAGGTATTGTAGTGATTCATCCTCGACCCTTGCTCTCATACCGTGGGCCTCACTACCTCGTTTACCTTTCGACTTGCGTCGGGTGTCGTGTCAGTGCCACACGCCTTGCTGGAGCAGTGTTGTTAATCCTGTTGCGTGAGATGTGGACAGGTGTGCATGCACGTGCACCTAGCTATAAACCCATAGAATTGTTGAATTTTAACTATTGATAAATTTACTTTGCGCCTAGTCCAGCGTATGAGCTGCTGAGACATTTTTGTGATACCGGCGCGCGTGACTGTGGGCATCTCTTTTGTGCCGTGGTGTCCAGGACTTGTGCGTCTGGAGCGGGTGTGTGTCTCTGGAGTGCTGGCTGCTTTTCTTGTCATTAAGACCGCACGAGCATTATATGAGCTTGTCGTTCTCCTCGCTTTACACCGCCATGGTTTCGTTTTATGGCCATCATGTCCTTTTTTTTTACATTAACTTTGTATTATTGTTCCATTGAACTCAAGCTCCAGCAGCTCCACCTCACTCATACCTCCGTATTTTATTTGTGTAGATCATTGTTGTCGGGTAACAAATGAAAATAAAATGTTAAAAATTAGGTTTTATATTTCGAAGAATTGGTACACATGTTCGTCAAATGTTGGCGGTGGGAGTGATTTACCTAATCCGTACGGCAATTCGTGTCAGTAGAAAAGCCGCTGCCGTTTGAAAGTTATTGCGTTTCGCATCCTTCGGAGGCATACTGATCACTTGACTTTGACGGACTTCTGTAAATAGAAAATGGAGCATCAGACACGCGTGTGTACATGTGAAGTCTATTCTAAATAGTACTGCTGAGAATACCACGTATGGGCTCCTCGCCCTGAAAAAAAAGATGCGCCTTCACTTACCATTCCTAACGGTACAGGTATGCGCTGGAGTAGGCGAGGGGCGAGTAGGCGAGTGGGGCGCTGTAGGCACTGTAGGCGTAGGGATACGATGCGTAGCCGGTGCTGTAGTAGGCGGAGCGGTACAGCGGGCTGGCCACGTACGGCGTGGTGGCGATCAGCTGGGGCTGGGCGGAGACGGCGGCCAGGACGGCGAGCACCAGCACGACGACGAGCTTCAACATCTTGGTGCTGAGGGATGTGTGTGTCTTGCTGCGGAAGACTAATGCTGTCTCCTGGATCTGGCTTTGTTTATATACGTAGATACTCGTCGCCCCGCCTCGCACGCTGCCGAATATGATTGGGGGGAGGGGGGGGCAGCGAGCAGTGGGGGATGCCTCCAGCCTTGTGGCGTACCCCTCGGGGCCAGGGTCAGAGGCGCGACGCTCCTAGCCATCATCACGTGACAAACACTCAACGCCTGCATATTGCACCGCGCATCTTTATGCATACAAAAATGCAAAAGTTGGAAATTTGGAATTCTGCATGGCTTCCTTTAAAAACGTACCACCCTGTCCTAGTAGTACAGAACTGCCGTACGAGGAGAAAAATCTGTTATCACTATCACTCTTGGCTCTTCTTTGTTATCGCCACATTACCTGATAACAAATCTCACTATTTGCGACAGTTCAGTGTTGTTACTAGAGCGTGAAGACCACAAACCACATACAGTAACTGTTGTAAACTTTGTATAGGCCAGTTACAAATAATTCTGCGCCCGCTCTTCTTGCGTATTTTTTAATGCACCGTTATATACAATTCGTTCGAATTTGTGTAAAATTTGCGAAAATTTGTCGATAACGGCTGTGTTGACATTTTTGCTGAGCTTAACTTGAACTTGAAATTAAACTTTAACTTTAAATGCTCAGCTCTGTCAGGAAGCGCAAGGGGAGACCGCCCGGAAGACGGCGTGAAGTGAGGCGCTTGGCGTGAGACGTGGGATGTGAGCTGGACAGGCATGCCAACCAAAATCGCGAAAACATTTTAATTTTAGCGCGCCGCAGGCCAAGGTAGACGCACATTTAGCTCAGCTTCACACGGTTTTAACGTGCGTCTACCTTGTATTGTTTTTCCGGGCCACCCTCCCTCACCCTGCGCCCCAAACCCCTTATCATTGTCGTCGGAATTATTTTCATCTGCCCTTTGTGTGTGAACACTAACTGGGAAAGTACTTTTTGTGAAACAGCTAAGCGTGTTGGGCAGGGCTGAGCTGACGCGAGCTGACGCGAGCTGACGCGAGCTGACGCGAGCTGACGCGAGCTGACGCGAGCTGACG